GGAAGGGAGGTGAGCAGGCATTGCTGCCATTTGAAGGAGAGTACTTGCACTTAGAAGTGGAGATCACGTGTGTGTTCCAGCTTAAAGCACAGTCACATGCATGGAATATTTTTTCACCTTTGATATTGTCTTTTTCACTTATGGCATATATTAGTTATGTTTGATTTAGACACCATTGTATGTGGCCAATTATTCTGTTTTCATGTATATATACTTTGTTTAGTATATCTGATTTATGCACTACTTATTTAGGTTCTTAATGTGTGATATTTAGCCATTATAGTCATTTCGGTTGACATTATTTTTTCTATCCACTAGAGGGAGTTCACATATTTTTAATATATATCGTGGTCACTTTGATTTACTATTATACTTTATGGAGACACATGATTGTATTCATGAGCCATCCTCTAGATATGGTTCCCCTTTTTTCTGGGGGCATGCAGAGCTCTTCCCCCATACACTACAATCTATCATGTGAGGTAATTCCTACCTAGTGTGATAAGGAACCCCATCCCAGAACTTGTTCCCATTTCTCATCCTGCAACTTCTATTGCTTGGAATTTCTAATAGGCCAGCACTGGAAAAGGATATGCTCGAAAGGTTCGAGCTGACTTGGAAGCCCTGGATTACACACTGCCTTCCCCCTGATTTTGATGTTTGTATCTATGTGTGTGTTTTATGTTTTCTACTCCCCTGCAATAGTTGAGCCTGTAACTGAATAGTTGACTTGGCTGTGCTTCTGCCTTTTCTACTTCTATGTTTCCTTACAGTCTTTTTTTTTTGTTTGTTTTCTCAGGCCAGATTCTGTTACTACCATTTAGGTTATAGAGGCCTACTGTATCCTGTAATAGCTTGTTTTCAGGCTAATACTTCTAAAATCTTAGTATTTGCTGGATATTACCAGGAATTCCTTGGGCTACAATTTTTTGTGGTCTACATATTTATCTTGTGCTGTATATGTATATAATTTTCCCAAGTCATTGGGTCTTGGGTTTGTTTTACCCTTTTTACTGCAGGTACTTTGTTTTACTTTCGGCCTCATCATGGTCTGCTTGTTTGTTCATATGTTGGTTTGTTTCTCCTGTTCATGTGTGCTCTATGTTGAAATAAAAATCTTTGACAAGGAATTTCTAATAGGCCTTGTATATCCTTCTGTTGCCCCTGGCAGCCATAGTTCTGCTTTTACTCTCCCTGCATTCTTGGGATCCCCCTCTTTTCCTTACACTACACTAGGGCAAGTATTCTGGAAATCAGTCCTTCTTGCTTCCCTGGTGCTCGTCTAATCACCTTCTGTGGGAATTCACAGTGAGGTCAATCACCCTCACCAAGTCTTGCTTTGAAAGCATGCCAAGCAATTTATGGTTTACCTTATGGGTGGGGCCATGACTGTCAACTATGGCTGCTTACCATATATTCCCTTGGGAACTGACCCCTCTTCCATTCTTCATGGGGCGGTCCCCCTATTGTATTCCTTCTCTTCCACCCGACTGGGTGGTCATTTTGCCTTTTTTTTTTTTGGAAGGTTTCTGCCTTCAGGGAATAAGTCTATGTTCTTGGGCTTTATACAGCATCTATTTTTATACATTTTCTGCAGGACCACGGTTTCTCTTTTTAGGTTTCTAGAACTGTTTTTGACAAACAGCTGTTTGAGCCTCTGCTGATTCATGCTTCAGCTGAAGTTATTTTGTCTTCTATTTATCTTCCATTTTATGTAGAACTGTCTGTTTCAGCTATGCTAGGCTACAAGGCCATTGTGGCCACAAGACTTGGCTGCACAGCCAATTATGTAAGTGTTTAATATTTGTGCAGAGGAAACCCAAAACTCCTTGGTTAGGTCAGATCAAATGCTATATAGCTAAAACAGTATAAAGTGTCTGTAGTGAGAGGATATGTAATCGGATATCATTTTCATACCTTAGGGATAATGATCAGGAAATTTGGGGGCAAAATAAATGACTCTTAAAAACTGAATTTCAGGAATTCAACTACTTTGTAAAAAGTGAGGGCACACTATGAGTAAAGTCCAGTGAGGTGTATGTCATTTCCCTGGACTTATTTCTATTATGTTACAGGAAGATGGCTATTGTTGTATATCCAGTAGCCCAACTGATCCAGTAGCCCAGCTGATCCTTCTGATCTCTACATTCTCAACAGTAGAGTCATTGCAGTAGCTATGCCTGCCCTTACCCTCCTGCTCAATCACAAAAGCCTTTGTATTATGTGAACTCATTCAGAAAATACAAAGCCTTATGTGAATGGGCAGCAGAGGGGAGAAGTGGACATAGCTGCTCTTTGTGCTCCTCTCCTCTCAGATCCCGGAGTGTCTCTCCGGCAGAGCAATAAATATGTCAGTTGTAAGTTACAGAAAGAAGTCCAGGAGATGTCATGCACATGCCTTCACTTTTTGCAAAGTGGCTGAACACCTGGAATTCAGCTTTATTAAGAAAGAAACCACCTATACATTATATATTAAAAACTGAATTACTTGCTAAAGTTACATCACCATACAAGAGTGCCTCGGGAGTACCTCATATACCCATTTCTTTAACAAGAGGATATTATTACAATTGTGATCTGTCTTTAATCACTTCCCGTCCGGCCCATGTATATAAATGATGACACTGTACTGCTAGGGTGACAGTATGTGAAAAAAAACCCAAAAACAAATATATAAAAAAAAAAAAAATGTAAAAATACATTTTTGAAAAATTATAAATTTTTGGTTATAATCGAATTTGGTTTTTTTTTTTTACTAAAAAGTTAACTGAATACATTTTGGCCAATATTTATGAAGAAAGATTATTTATTTACAACATTTTATAAGAAAAACACTTTTTTTCAAATTTTTTTTTCATTTATATAGCAGAAAAAATAAAAATCCCAGTGGTGAATAAATACCACCAATATAAAGTTTTATCTGACTCAAAAAATGCTAAAAAATTCATATGTGTACAGTGTTGCATGACTGCGCAATTGTCATGCAAAGTGTGATAGCACTGAAAGCTGAAAATTGGCCTGGACAGGAAGGGGGTAAAAGTGTCCAGACTTGAAGTGGTTAAATTGTAGGGGCACCTGCTTTATTGGGTAAAATAGCCCTTACTTTATCTATCCAGAGGGACTTATGACTTAAAGAAATTCAGTGTATAAATCTGGGTGTGGTTTCCCTTGTGAACTGATTGGAATATAGAAACAATGAAATGAATAAACATACTGATATTCTGGATGCAATTCTTGATCTGTACTAATAATATTGGTATGTTATATGCTGAAGTGGCCCGACTCAGGAAGCAAAGCTTAGAGAACAGACTATCTTTGGATTACCTTACAGTAGCTCAGGAAGGTGTTTGTGAGACTGATGTATCTATGTATCATTTAATGAAAACGCAATTAAAGGCAATTATAGTTACATAGCTGCTCTCAACGATTAGTCTCTCCCCACTGGAGTTTGCCTCCTAGGCCAGGACTAGCTCCGCCTAAACGCAAGGAGATTCCAGGTTAAAGGTGATGGCATGATACGGTTAGTAAAAATAACGACAACGATGAACCTCCAGATTTTGTGAAAATTTATATAGCTCTCAACCATTTTTTTTTTTTTTTTATTAACTCATTCTTACTGTCTTTGCGCACAACACTAATCACTCTCTGACATACACAAGTTTCTACATTCTTTTTTGTTCAGCCTTTATGCATGTATTGTGTTGCTTTGTTACAACTTTGCTTCCTCTTTACATAAGCATGCGTATAAAACCCAAATGTGCCCTAATAAACTTTACAACAGTCTTGGAAACATGCCCAGTATGTTTGTTCACTCGCAGCAGCGGTAACTACTAATCCATGCTTTCACAGGAGTTTTTTTTTTTCCGTACAACCCAGATGGAGATCATAAGCAATGTTAACACAGCAATCTCTCCTGCTGTACCTTTGTGTTCTGACAGGACTCCCCCATGCCAGAACACACCAATCAGCACTTGCAGCCATTGTGAGCACTGATCATAGGCAGCTTTTCCAACATGTACCTTCGACAAAAGACGGTCCTTAGACAGGCTTCTGTCAGAAGGACAGCAGTTCCTGCTGAACTGGCCGATATTTGGACCATTTTTACCCAGCTTAAGCCTCACTGCTGATTTTTATGTTATCTGTAGGCCTCCTATTTCTGCAGTTATATGTAGGTCAACCTCCATTATACACAAGGCTATTTCACCACAAGTGAAATAAAGAAGATAGAACATAGGCTACATTTTGGCTAAACATACATTTATTCATCCAGCTGGAAAATATGCAGACATCTCTTATACATAATACCTGTTCTTGTGGTACTGGATAGTCATGATTTAGGCTCCATGCACACAGGGCATTTTAATAACGCTGGTAGCGTTAGCTGTGTAAAGTCACGTTAAAAACGCAAGTTTTTCAGCATTTTTAGCGTTTTTGCATTAGCGTTTAGCCGCGTTTTCCCGCATTTGCGGTTTTTAGTGTTTTTTTCCTACAAAAATGTTGGTTTGCCCCATTTTTCAGTGTTAGAGCATTTTTACAGCTAAAAAAACTCCTCTAGAAAAACCCACTAGTTCTGGGGTTTTTTCCAGCCAAAAAACACTGATCACAGTCTATGTGTGCATGGACACATAGGATAACATGCTGGGGAGTTTACTGGCTGTAGAAAAAAACGCCAAAAGCCAAAAACAGCCGATGTTTATCCAGTGTGCATGAGGACCTAAAATCATTCCAGGAAACATTGACCTTTGTAAGACATTTACGTTGATGACATCCACACATCACAGTTCTGTGGAGATTGAGAACAGTTACTGGAGTGGAGCACTGGCTATCTGTACAGTATGAAGATAATAAAAAAAACTAGCTGATACACTAGCTTTTTTTTCTTTTGTTCATTTAAATAAAAAAAAAAAAGTTATTCATGTTTACTGTAAGTGTTCAGAGACAAGATTATAAATAGTTTGTATGAACAGAATAGTTGACCCGAGGAAAAGGCAAACTCTCATTTATAGCAGCATCGTTGTTGGTTTTTCCAGAAACTTTTTGAACTCTGCCAACCACTGAGCACCAACTGCTCCATCTACCACACGGTGATCGCAGCTCAGGGTGACAGACATCATGTTGGCAACATCGAAACTGCAGGAAAACAAAATACAGTTATTGAGGACCAACAAACAGGCCTCATACACACAAGAGAAAAGAAAACGTCTAATGCATACGTTGGAGTGTTTAAGGGGTTTAACATTTTTTTTTTTTTTTGCACTTTCATGTGAAAATAAACATGGGCACCATCTGTGCAGATTTCAAACTTGACTTATTTTGTTTTCTTGATTTGTAAAAAGGAAGAGAATTTTACAAAAGCTGGATTCTTTTCAGCATCCACCATGTGTTTGAACAAACCTTTATAAAAACTGAAGAAAAGATAATGAGAGCTTACTAAACCCATAACAGTAAAATCAGTCTGTATATGTAATAAAGCATGCTTGTTATACTCACTGTGGAACCTAAGGGGTTAATCCTCCACAATGTGTAAAAAGGATGTTTGATCCTGTCTGCTCTGATCCTCCCCTTCTTCTACTGCCCCCAATCCATCTGCTGATAGAAGAGGGCCTTGGGGGAAAGCTGCACATGCTCAGTTTGGTGTATACTGCTAGATAGTTGTTTTTTTTTTTCTTGTGAGAGTGCAGGTGATCAGCACAGGGCCAATCAGCGCGCTGCCAGACAGAGGGTCACGGGTCATGCAGCCTCATAGGACAATCAGGGGAGAATGAAAACTCCTCCTACAAGCTTTAATCAGTGCTTTGCTGGATACGGATAGAAGTCACAAGACTGCTCTAAACTGTTGATGAAAAAAGGTACTTAGTAGTTTATATTTACTAAAATAATTACATTTCCATGTTCTGTGTACTGTGGGAGAACAGATATAGTGCATGCAGGGTCCTGGGTTTAACACCATTTTAAATTCACCCCCAGACAGTCTCTTGAAAAAAACTGAATGTCAGTATACTACAATAGAAGATCTGTTATACTTGCCTACCTGTTTCATCTACCATTGCTTTGATCAAGCACTGCAGCCTACTCTCTCATACTCTTCAGCTTTTGACACTTTCAGGAGTGGCAGATCCTTATAACATCTACTATTCACTGTGGTTCCATGATCCCACCCCTACAGCACTATAGAACACAGCAGTGAAGTAGGATTCCTAAGATGGAACTACAGTGTATAGTGGGGGTACACAGACCTCTGACACTACCATTAGTAATGGATGCTCACATTTCAAAATCTTTTCAGTGACTGATATGGTCACTCTGAGTAGAATTGTTGGCCATAGCAACCAAATAATTTTTTTTTTCTTTTCTTAAAATGAATTGTAAAAGCTGAACTGTTACTACACAGAATGTCTCCACTTTTTTTTTTTTTTTAGCATCTAGATACTTGCCTGAGAAAAAACAAGATGAAAAAAAAGAAAAAAAAAAAAGATGGCAATAGCCAGAGAATAAGACCAATAGAAGCATATTGCCCAGCCATCAAAAATAAAAATACCTGTACGCAAAGGCTGCTAATATCCTTGTAATTCAACTGATAGAATACTAAAAAATAATATAGTGACAACAGACTCTATTCTTACCCTTTCTCATTATCTGCTGGAATTAGTCTGTTCTCTGTTCCTCCCACAGCAAGAATACAGGCCTGAGGTGGGTTAATTATGGCAGAAAAGTTTTTGATTCCATACATTCCCAGGTTAGATACAGTAAATGTTCCACCCTGGAATATTAAAAATGGTAAAATCAGAAAAACAACAATTTATACATTTAATTAGTAGATGATTAGGAGACTAACTAAAGCCCCTTTCACACAGATGATCTGATCAGGTCCGCCTTTCGGTTTCTCCAATTCGATCCGGTCCACTTAAATGAAACGCAAGGGGATATGTCCTCCTCAGTTTAGGTGAAACAGATCGGAAGGTAGTTGAGTATATTTGGATAGTGGAGTCTGTTTACACCCGGCAGCCCACAGGGCAGAGCGGTCTCTGTCCGTGTCCGCTTCTGTATAAGCTCAGTGAACACAGACTGTCATCCGTCCGCCCAGCTCTGATCAGTAGGGGATCAACAGACAAATCCCATGCTGATCTAAATGGAGCCCCCCTGTGTGGAAGAGGCCTAACATTTATTTTCAAAGAACCAACTTACGCAAATATAGTTACTTTAGATCTATTTGCTCCGAATAATAGATAAAACAATCACAACAGTTCTTTACAATAGGCCTTTGCTCCAAATGTAAAGGTTTTAAAGCCTGAAGTAACCTTTTTTGACTTGGTAACAGTCTCTTGCAATCCATTGTACAACAGAATACAGACGGTACAGGCAGTATGCACATTTTTCCATCATTTGTCATCTAATGTTATTTTGGACAATGGTATTCTACATTATAAAGCAAAAGCACTGCTGATGTTTAAAGCAGCTTTGTAAATTATTTTTTTACATATTTCCCATACCAAACTCCAGTTTCCTGGTGTGTTTCATCTGGAACACAATTTACATATACAGAATTTCTATTAAAAAAAAGAAGTGCAAATTACCTGGGTTACATGAAGCTAAATAGCAAGGAACATACCTGGAATTCATGTGGCTTTAGCTTGCCTTCTCTTGCACGAGTAGCCAAAGACACCACATCTTTGTTGATGGCTGTCAGACCCTTTATATGAGCATTAAAGACTATGGGTGTTATCAGTCCTGCAGGGGTGCTCACTGCCACATTCACATCCACCACATGGTTTCTGGAAAGGCATAAGTATTAGAGCTTTAAATACCTACCCAAAAACCTGACTACAAACATTCTTCTTGATTTACAAATGTGGACTGGGGATTTGCATGGGTCAGGGCTGCCCAAGTGCCTACTTACAACTCAGCCTGTATCCTGAATACACCACCCAGCCTGTATTCTTGGTTCAGCTCTGGCTGTGTATGCACAGCCAATTCAGAGGCAAAACAGGAATGGTAGGAATGGAAAGCAGTTACATTTCACCAAATGTTTTACCAAAAGCATGATAAAATGTTCTTCATCTCTGGGATTATGTAAATTAAATATACATAACCTGAACATACACTGGAAATTGGCAATAATCTGTACAACTGGTTATTAGAAGTCTGTGTCAAGACTGCTTTTGGAACATGAAAGGACCATCACTAACACCATCCCAGAGAAGTGAGTGGGTCAGCCACAGGTTTAGCACATTGGTATTGATTTAGTAAAAGAGAACATCGTATTCACTGTGCAAAGCAAATTTTCACTTAGCTTAGTGAATGATGTAAAAACTGTGTAGACTTTAACCACATGCCCTCTGGAAGATTTACCCCTCCTACATAAGGTCATTTTTTGCGGCGCTGCACAACTTTTTTATGCAACACTGTACAATGAAATATAAACAAAAAAAAACTAATAATTTTGAGGAAAAAACAACAATTTTTTTTTTACTTTTTGCTATAAAGCAGCCAATAAAAAAAATATTTTATAGATTTAGGTCAAAAAATATTCTGCTATTTGTCTTTGGTAAAATACAATCCCAATAAGTGTATATTAATTAGTTTGTGTGAAAGTTATAGAGCCTACAAATGATAATATATACACTGGAATTTTTTTTTTTAGACTAGTAATGGCAGCGAAAAGTGACTTTTAGTGAGGCTGTGACGACGGGCATTCTGACACGGATATCCCCAGTGACACTAATAAAGTGATCAGTGCTAATAAAATGCACTGACACTGTACTAATGACACTGGGCAGGAAGGTGTTAACATCTGGGGCGATCAAAGTGTTAACTGTGTGCCTAACTATGTATAATGTGTGCAATATGTGTTGTTTTACAATAGGATGTGACTGTTTTATCTCCCTGCTTTGCAGTAAGACAAAACTGGCACATCCCAGCTGTCAGCAAAGATGTTTGTGTTGTTTACAAACACAGATCTCAATCCTGTCACTTGCTCCAATGATCAGCAGGTCCAGGTCGTGAATCATTAGCTGCTGGTTGGCAGCTAATGGAGCCAGTAACATTGCGGGTATGCGGGCGCATGCGCCCTACCCAGAAAACCAGAACCACATATATACACTTGATTCTGCGCTGCCGGCCCGACCTGTAGCTTTACTATTATTTTTTTTTTTATTTTCACATGACTGGGTATTCTTTTTAAAGTTAAGTGTTCCTTAGCTTCACCTAATTCACTAAGCTAAGTAAAAAGTTACTTTGATTTACTAAATGAGTGGAGTGTGTTCACTTTTCAACCAGAATCTCAAATCCTCCTGTAGAGGTGGAGACTTACCTAGGTGCTCCTATAGCACTTAGAACTCCAACTCTACTAAAATCTGCTGAATAAAACATACAATAAAAGCTGCTATATAGTTACTGTCGAATAACTGTGTCCATCCAGGAGGAGTTTGCTTCGGGGATTTTCAGACAAGATAATGCAGAAGCCTTAATGATGAAATCATTGACAGAGAGCTTGATGTTTTCGGACTTCACAACCTAGAAAGTGAAGACATATAAAATTCAATCTAGTGTAAAGCCAAGGTAACATTACATTTGTAGGGGCTCAATTAATTTACCAATACCATTTTTGGACTTTGTACATATAAGGTTTTATGGATGGTGCAGTAATCAGTCAGCATCTTAAATAAGAAAGAGAAAAATACCTGAATATGCCTGGTGCACACCCCATCCTACTGTATGGGGTTGATTTACTAAAACTGGAGAGTGCAAAATCTGGTGCAGCTGTACATGGTGACCATTCCCCTTTCAACTTCAGTTTGTTCAGTTAAGCTTTGACAAAAAAAAAAAAAAACGGAAGCCGATTGGTTTCTATGCATGGCTGCACACAATTTGCACTCTCCGGTTTAATAAATCAAGTCCTATTTGCATTTCAATAAGAATGGCAGCAAACATTTAAAAAATATAAGCTATTTCAAATAAAAAGCAGATCTGTTAGGGTAGGAACAGGCTCTGAAATGGTTCTCATCCTTCCTTCATTACTTAGTTGTTGACACGATGCAGCCAGTAAAGCACCTGACAAACACTTACCTTCTAAAGGTGGGTTGTGGCAGCACACAAGATAGAGGCAAATTGTTATAGTATGAGGCTGTAGAGCCATCTTGTCCAGGTGCAGTAGAAATGTTTCAGAGACATAACTTTTAAAATGTCATTTTCAGAGCATGGGTCATTAGGACCATTCCGTTGTGGAGTTCAGAGTACAGGAAGTGCACATGTTGTTGTATTGAAGATTTTAAGAACTTCTTGAGGGAGAGCAGTTGTAAATCCTTCAGAGTTTTGAAACTTTCAAAGGTTGATTCAGTTTGCATGCAAACATTGAGGATAAATGATTTAAATGTGTAGCTGGCAATTTCAGATTTGCTTTTAAAATAGAATGGAGTGCTGAAAGCCATTTACAAACCTAAATGTTAAGAATGTTTTTGAGACTGCTAGTTAAAATGTTTTTTAAGGAGTCTCTCACACAGCAAATCTTCTTACCTCATTTAGCTCCTTTCGCAGGTGTAGAATTTCCCCCATGTTAACATCAACTGAGAGATAGTAGTGAGGTATAGTCTGTTTGGACTGCATAAGTCGCTGTGCAATCACCTAGAAACAGCAGCATTGCAGAAAGTTTGTCACATGCTTTGTTCTGTAAAGCACTTTTAACCTTAGTTTACAAAATTTTACACCAAGAGAAGCAGTGATCCAAATATCGCTCTAAAAGGAATGCTTAATACATGAACATTTAAGCTGAATTCGGCTAAATATACAGTAGAAGCACATACACTGTATGGAAACCAGACAATGAAATAATCAATTTATTTAGTTGGGATGATGACCATAATCCTTTCTGTGCTAATGTGTATACTCAGATGTCTGGTCAGAGACAATTTACATATTTAGAAGCTCCTGTAGGTCACAATGCAGAGGTGATAATGCACATAAACTGCTTGTCTGAATACAGGAACGTGCTTTCATCCATGTGTGCACCTACTTCAGCTTCTGAAATATATATTACAGTATACTTAGGATTTTGTCTACAAGTGTTGCGAGACCTGGGTACCTAGGACATATGCCCCTGGTGCATTCTTCTGTCATAAGTACCCACATTGCTTTATTGGGTGCCAGAAATTGACCCAACAAACCCCACACCCACCCTGCCATGTATCTTACAACTGGAGCACAAATATTATGAGGAAGTAATAGAAAAGGGCTATGAGTGCTCCAATAATGACACCTGATTTGCCTCCATAACACAGAATGGATACACAATATATGTATCTGTGTGGCAAAGACAGATGGTTACAGTACTGTCCACCACTCTGTTACACAAGTAAAAAGCTGCAGCTCACACAATGGAGACAGTGTCTGGCTGGCTCATCAGAAGGTCTTGGCTGTCTGTGGAGATGGGGAGAAGGATAACTCCTGAAAACAGCAGGAATTAATGAGGGGGCCTGGTTATGTAACATGGGTTTGGGGGACTGACAAGCCAGGGGTTCTCTGTGGTTGGCTGTAAATATTGAGGGGGTCAATCCAGGGGCGGACTTACAACTCATTGGGCCCCCAGTCTATAGGAAATCATGGGGCCCCTGTGTCCTCGCCCACACTCAAACCACACCAAAAAAAAGCCTATGAAAGGTACTAGGGGCATCTAATGGAGCCCCCTACTGACCCGGGCCCTCAGGCAGTGCCCGAGTGCCTAAATAGTCAGTCTGCCCCTGGGTAAATCTATGTTACAGCAAGAAGGGGGATGGGGGCAAAAAAAGTGGATGTGATGGACCTGGAACATGTATGGTAAATCCCAACCCAGTGGTGGTAGTTCTCATATCCTGGCAGTTACTGAAAGTGATTCTAAAGCTAAAAACTGTTTTTTTCCCTTAATGCATTTCTTGCATTAAGGCAAAAAAATGTTTTATATTTTTCTGTCCTCCCCCTGCTCTGTGTAAAGGGGAAGAGAGGGGAGAAGAGATCCAAAGCTGTGCATGGCTGCTTCTCTTCTCTCCTCTCTTCTTCTTCACACTGGAACTCGAGCTGTCAGATACAGTGGGGAGAAAGTGGGGAATGGGGATAAGCCCTACTGTGTGTGTCTCTGGAGTGCAGCTCCATAGACACACAGTTCAGGAGTGAGCACACACTGGGTACCCCCACAGCAAATGGCTTGCTATGGGAACACATGAAGAAGAGGAGGAGCCAAGATCACTGGTGGGGAACCCGAGAAAAGGAGGATTGGGGCTGCTCTGTGTAATGCCAGGTAAGTACAACATATTTTTCATTTTAAAAAATAACCTTTAGTAATACGTTAACCTAAAAACTCAAGTTGATGACAATATTCCCGTTTTAAAATGAAATTTCAACTAATTTACTGGATACCTTTCTGGGAGCCTGATTTCTATATTTTATCATCATCTGTTAGTTCTTCATAGGGCCACTAAGAGAACTAAATATCTGAATAGAAATCATAAATGATGAAAAGTGGAATGAAATGTAGATGTTTATCCCAATTACCTTGACTGTATAACATAACTGTACAGTCTCATACATCTTACTACACAACCTTACTAAGCTGTCTAAAACCAAAGACCCAGTACAGAATAAGACAAAGTAAATCCGTTATGGAGAAAGATCAGCTGTAGGGAGACCTGCCTTTTTTGAATTGAAGAAAAAATAAAAACATTTGTTTTTTCTAAAGTTCTACTGGTCTTTGTATTTATCAATGTATCAGTCTTAGAGTAACACCGCTGCAAAACCAAAGAGAAAGACTGTGCAACACACTAAGATTACCAAAAAGAGGTGCGTATAAATTCTTACCTTCCTAATATTGCTAATGGGAATATCTGTAAAGGTTCCAGTAGGAATAGCTGCTACAGCTGGAGAGGGCTGTGCAGCTGCAGGGGCTGGAGCAGCAGCTGCAGGAGTCTGATAATGCAAAAAAAACAAACATATAAAAGAGAAGAAATAGAAAAACAGGTATACTTTAATATTCAAAGTCAAGTGATGCATTTTTACATTAATACTCAGTATAAAACCCAATGTATCCATTTCACAGAACACATATGCAGTTACTGTATTACATAGTTACTCTGGCTGAAAAAAGACAAAAAAGTCCATTCTGTTCAACAATTAAAAAAAAAAAAAAAAAAAGGTTATCAGTTGATCCAGAGGAAGGCAAAAAAACCCCAGCAAAGCATGATCCAATTTACTCATGCAGGGAAAAAAAAATTCCTTTCTGATCCCCCGAGAGGCAATTGGATATTCCCTGGATCAACTTTACCTATAAATGTTAGTATCCAGTTATATTTTGTGTATCTAAGAAACAATCCAGGCCTTTTTAAAGCAATCCACTGAGTTGGCCAGAACCAACTCTTGAGGAAGTCTATTCCACATTTTCACAGCTCTCACTGTAATGAAACCTTTCCATATTTGGAGACTAAATTTCTCTTCCTCCAGATGTAAAGAGTGCCCCCTTGTCCTCTGTGATGACCTCAGGGTGAATAGCTCTACACCGAGTTCACTATATGAGCCACTGATGTATTTATACATGTTGATCATATCCCCCCTTAATCTCCTCTTCTCAAGAGAGAATACATTCAGTTCCTCTAAACTTTCCTCATAGCTGATCTCCTCCATGCCTCATATCAGTGTTGGTTGCCCTACTCTGTATTTTCTCCAGTTCCTCAATGTTCTTTTTGTGAATTGGTACCCAAAATTGAACTGCATATTCCAGATGAGGTATTACTAATGATTTGTACAGGGGTAATATTGGCTTTGTGAGTTCTGCACTGTGATTGTTCTATGGTTTCCTCTGGGTTGGCTAATTCCAGATAGTTCAGTAAGGAAGACAGGATCCTGATCAGAGAACATTCACCCGGTATGACTGCAGCCGGACATAGTGGAGGGGATCTAGTCCATCAGGTAACAGATTTTCCATAATTGTTGAAACAAAGCTGGGCATAAAACAGAATTCTCCTATGCACAACCAAAGCTTTGCAACATGCAGATTCTCTTACTACCTAAAGGATAAAAGTTGAGTGCTCCAAGTAATCTAGGCTGCTTTTTGGACTAGAGCACCAACAAGCCTTTCTCTGACAAACACGTGTGAGAAAACCCAGCAGAAGCTGCCACATTTACTGGGCTGCCCAGTTATTCCAGATCAGGCTTAGCTTCATTCAAGAATCTACTGCACAGCCCAGAATTCAATGGCAGCTCAAACTGCTTTTCATAGATATTTTGCTTAATGACAATATCAATCTGAGATAATCCTCAAAGCCTTCAAAGTGAAAAAAGTAACAAAATTCCCCAAGAATAAACATACCAGTCATATCAGAATATCATTCATGTCTATATAACAAACTCATCTAGAGTAGTGGCAAGTAAAGAGCATATTCATACTTACAGGAACAACCTTAGGAGGCACAAAGGATTCAATATCTTTTTTTGTAATCCTGCCATCTGGTCCGGTACCTGAAACAACCCAGACAGAAAAATACTGTTTAAGAATTAAATCCAGCAAATAAATGTAAGATAATGAATAGGTTGTTGACTGCTTCACAAAGCATGCTTAAAGCCTTTGAATATAGGGAAGATAGGAACTATGTAAGGGATTTCAAGCTGACCTAGATATTATTATTACACAGGATTTATATAGCGCCAACAGTTTGCTCACTGCTTTACAATTTAACAGGAGACAATACAGCAACAATACTGTTCAATACAAGAGGGATTTGAGGGCCTGATCCTGGGAGCTTACAATGTATTGGTTGATTAGCAAATAACTGTTAAAAAGAATGATGACCACACAACAGATATTTCCGATCCCTATCCTTACTAATTCATAAAAACAACTTACAAATAAAACCCTACTGCATTTCTCACACAGGCGATTAAGTGCTTGTGTGCTTGATATGCGTCAAAGGACTCCACACATTTCGTGTATTGCTTTTATGAATGAATAAAGACATGGTTTCAAAATAGCTGATGGGTGGGTCATCCAATTCTTTGTAATGGTGGCTGTAAGCAAACAAGATGGACATGTACCTGGCTTAGAGCAAACATGTGCCACCTTGGAGCATTTTCTACATGACAATTAAGGTTTAATATTGACAAATGTAAAGTTATGTACTTGTGAATAAAACATGCATGCATCATATAATCTAGTGGAAATAGAAATTTTGGTTTAATGATAAAGAATATGGCAACCTGATAGATCCTAGACTTGGCATAGAATACCAAACTGCAGCTTCTAGGTTGGAGGAGGACAACTATATTAATAAATGAAATGGAAGATGTCAACTGTGAAGAAACATTATATTAAATGTATTCATTCAATTCAGTGGAAAATCACTGCAAAAGACGCAAGGTCTCAACTGGAAGAGGAGTTTATGCTCTGGACTAAAATGTCAAACCACAAGTCTCCTTTAGTTTTGGACAGAGCTATCCAGGGCTCAGTTAGAGGGATTTTACCAGACAGAAAGCGAGTGGATATTTCCAACAGCAACACAGGTAGAAATAAAAATCCATTTTCTTGGTAGAGTGCAGGAAGGCTAGAACCCCTGTCAGATTTGTATTTTCATTTATGTTGCTTTTAAAGTTTTTCACTCACTCCCTGTGCATTAACCTGTCAGCAGGACAGAAAGTAATAGAAAACTCTCTGACAGAGCCTCTAAAAACATTAAAGGTGTCCAATTTTGAAAGTGTGATAATCCATGATTGGCAATTTATTAAGGTGCAATGTGGGCACCTGACAGTCTGTTTATGTAAATGGTCTCCCTTCCTGTAATTATACATCGAATATCACTTTTGCAGATTGAACACCGTAGAGGTTATGGCTACTTTATGTGTTTCTTTCATGCTAAAAGATTAAATAAAACACTGCATTAAAATATCCTGGTTTTTGACAGGAGACCAGAGTGAAGAGAGGTATATGGCATTTATGCTGTGTCTCAAAAACTAGGGCTGATAAAACAAATTGCCATTTTTGGAATCACTGGGTCTAACATTCGAGGCACCAAAATGTATGTTGGCCTGTGTTCTTGAGACCCATTTTGGGTCTTCTGCAGTTGTGCACATTTACTTTAGAATACAAAAATGAAGAAATATGGTGGCACAATCTGTAACATGCTGTAGTATACCTTTTACTTGCATTACATCTATGCCTCTTTCTGATGCCAGCTTTTTGGCCAATGGACTCACAAATACCCTCCCTTTGGGTGCAGAGCTTGGTGCAGGAGGCGGTGCAGATGGAACAGCTGCAGCCACTGGTGTGACTGGTGGGAGACTTGCCGCCTGCAGATATGACAATCCAGATGTAAATGCAAACACATACATGTAAACAAAATAAATTATATTATATACATACACAAGGCCCCTTCCTTCCAAAAAACAATGTAAAGCCACCACAGAGAGACAGGGATACAATCCTTAAAGTACATCTCTCTTCAATCATTTGAGTCTCTGACTGGGAACAGGTATAGCAATAATGAAATCTGAACTCCTTTATACGGTCTGTGACTCAAATGCAGTGAAGCAAAATGCAGCCAGGCAACTAGAGATTTCAGGAGGGCAGTAATGACAGCTCCCATATATCTCCTATATTAGGTGTGCTTTAAAAAAGTTAAAATTACTGCTTGTCACCAAATTTAGATTTTTGTAGACATGTGTTTTAGAAGCTGGCTGCATAAATACAAGGATTTTTTTTTTTCAAATCGAGACAAAATTTTATCAATGTAAGTAAAGCATAGAAAATGTGACATACATGGTCCAGAAATAGAAAAACAACTGAACAACAACCAATTGGCCATTGGTACTGTTAGGTACATAGCAGATAGTCTACATATCAGCATACATATAATTCAAGCAGTGAGAGCTTATGCCTGTAGCTTTAAAAGCCCCGCATTTATATCAGCATGTGGTACATACATATGATCGCTAAGACAATTCCCCTGCAGTGACAAATGCATAGTGCATCAACAAGGAGCTCGACTAGAATACTAGGATTTGTGTTCTACTTGTGAATATGAAGTCCCCTGTATCCTGGAGTACATGTACTCAGGAAAAGGATTTTACAACTACTTGGGATAACCCAAAGCAATGACCACTAGGGCTGGGCAACACAGCAACAATGCCTACACGCCCAAAACCCAGAAACATACTAGGGGAGAGTCCACCTACAAAGCCACCTGCACAACATCTACCTGGTAGAATTTAGTAAACTTATGAAATAAAGTAGCAGCCTTACAAACCCAAAACAACAGAAGCACGATGCTGAATCTCCCAGGAAGTGGTGACTCCCCTGGTGGAATGAGCCTTGATTGGGAAAGAGGAACCTTGCTCTTAATCCCATAGACATGAGAATTAAGTTAACAAATAAACCTATAAATAGTGACTCGAGAGGCAGCCTGTCCCTTGTGAAGACCTTCAGGTAGAACAAACAGAATCTATCAAAAAGAAGTTGTGGATTTCAGATAAATTTAAAAAGCTTGAAAAAAAAAAAAAAAAAAAGAAAAAAAAAGATGGGCTGCGACGCACACCAGCCACACCCTAAAGCATTTTTCCCCTTCATCAGGAAGGGGACTTCTCAGCTAAGCATGGTTTCCTGTCTTAGGGCCTAATATAAGGGCAGGTGGATTCCAGGAAGTAAATGCTACATGAATCATCTACCTTTACTCAAGATGGCCCAACTAGATTTACTATGGGGGGGGGGGGGGGGGGGGGGTTCAAAGAGATTTCTCAAAAAAAAATAAAAGCACAGAGACATGGATGGATGGGTGAGTTTGCTTTGAATATCAAAAATGAATTAAATAGCATTTTTAGTTTGTGGTACTCAGATACAATGTAGTTTGGATTTAAGTAGGAAAGAAGACCAAGGCCTCACTACCAACTAACTGTAGTGAAGAACCAGTAAAGGTTCCTTGCAGCCAACTCCAATACCCTAAGCCAAAATAATGGCCACCAAAAAGAAAATATTGTGTGTAAGGGGGTAGCAGGGGAATCTCTCACAGAGGCTCAAAAGTATGCAAAATAGACAAGATCAAAGTAAGGTCCCACAGGGACAAAGGGGGCTGCACAGGCAAAACAATCTGTGTGACACCCTGTACAGAGGTTTTTACAATGAAATGAGTTGCAGTAGGTCTCTGAAACTGAATGGCCAAGTCCAGGACCTACCCCTTGATGGTACATACAGCCAGAGACATCTCCACCCCAGATTGTAGAAAAACCAAATTGCATCCCACAACATATTGTCAGGATGAAACTCACAAGCCACACACCAAGTGTCTGGATGATGACTGACTATCTTGCATTGAGGAGGGTAGGGATTACAGATTCTGAAACATCCCTCTCCCTCATGGCTTGGGCTTTGAAAGCCATGCCATCAAAGCCAGCGACCTTAAAACAGAATGGGAAATCGGAACCTGTGACAGCAAATCTGGTCGATCTGAAACCGCTCAAAGATTTGTGATGTTAGCATACCATGTTCTTCTTGGCCAAGCAGGTGCAATCAGAATTGAAGTAATTACTACAGAAAAATCTCTGCAAACACCTCCTGTGAAGGGCCCTTTCTCCTGGATTCAGCTGTTGACAGGTGAGAAAGTCTGCCTCCCAATTTTCCAAGCTGGATAACGGCAGGGCAGAGGGCTGGATCATAAAGTTTTACCCAAGACAACATCAGGTCTGCTTCTTCCTGAGTAGTGAAACTTCTTGTTCTTACTTGATGATTGATATATGCCACTGTCATGACCTTGTTCCACTGCACACTGATGGGAAGACCCCAAAAGGTAGACAGATCAGTGTAGGAGAGCCAGCCAAATCACCCAAAGTTCCCTGGTGTTGATTGGCAACTTCCACTCCTCTGGTGACCACATTCCCTGAACTAAGAGGTTTTATAGAACACCCCAATCCCCACAGACTGACATCCTTTGTCAAGACCTTCAAACTTTTCGAAAGGATTTTCTGGTATATAGCATCTGCATGGATATCCACCATTCCAGAACCAACCTGGTCTTGGAAGTCAGATTCGTTGGCAGGTCCAAGGGCTCCTGATGTTTGTCTCATGCCATGCCCCATATTAGGTTGAAGACCTCTGGAATGAAACTGGGCATAGGATATTGCATCAATGGAGGCCACAATATTCCACAGTATCTTTATCTGAATTGAGAGACTTTCCAACAACTTCAGGGACTTCCACCTGGAATCAGAGATAGGTATTTCTTCTACCGAAGCAGTACCTTTGCCTGTGCCATGTTGAGGACTAAACCTAAGTACTCCAGATGTTGAGTTGGAACCTTGGCTGACATCTGAAGGTCCAGGACCCAACTGAACCTTTCCAAGGTGCTACTGGTTTCTGACCTGACACCAGCAACTTCCTCCTTACTGATAAAAGGTGTGCTTTTCCTCATTCCTCAGAATGAAGGTATTCAAGAATGACCCAATCAAGAATTTAATCTCAAAGGGCAGCTACTTGATTTTCTTCTTGCAGAGAAGTCCCGCTGACCAACATTTGAATCATAGGATCCTTCTCATATGGACAGAGATGGTGCCCACCTGAGAAAGCTGCCTTGAAGAGTCTTCCAAGGCATCCACTGAAAAACTCAAGGCTCTGGAAAATCTTCCAGGAACTGCAAAACAGCAGGATCCCCTGGGTCCAATTCTCTAGAATTAAGCATATGCTCTGCCCACACTTTCAAAGCTTGGCACACTCCTATTGCTCCCAGGTTGCAGAGCCGCTCCAATCAGAAAGAGAGAGAGACCTTAAAAATGGCCTTTAATCTCTTTTCTGTGGCATCTTTAAAGACCAGAATCTTATCCACCCAGGGACCATCAGGGTCTTATTCAAGTATGAAATGGGTGGGAGAACCCTATTTCTTGTAGAATTCTTCCTCCATAGTTTGCTGTTGAGCAAAACGCTTCTGAAAACACTTTCTCAGGGTGAGCCTAATCAGTATATATCACTTCCTGTAATTAAGAGTGCACTGTAAAGGGCTTGGGATGTTTTGGCAGCCACCAAAAATTACAAGCAGCGACTTTAGGACAAGAGGATTCTGGCCGTGGTAACTTCACCTTAGTGTGCACCACATCCACCAGCAAGTCCATTGTGGTCTTCTTCGACAGCCCTGGACCCAAAAATTCCTCTTGGGAGGACTTGTGTACAGAGGATTCCTGATCCTCGGCAGCTTCTTTCTCTTCCTCATCTTGGGGATGTCTCTCCAATGCCTCATGGCAAAAATGGGAAGGACAGCATTCGTGCTTGCATCCCAGGCATTGCAAACCAGTGAGAACCCCTGAGAGGTGAACTCAACTCAGACGTGGCTGTAGAAAATTTTTCCCTTGACACAAATGAAGCAGAGGGTTGTGCCTTTGAGACAGTGGAAACACTATAAAAGGGCAGGGATTCAGAGCTAATCTGACCCTTAGCGGAGCCATTACAGGGCAAACTATGCAGAAAGGTCCTCCCTAACTGAAAGAGGGATTTGGATCACACCCCATCTTCCTTCCCTCCCACTTCTCTGTTGTGTAAGGCCCATGGCTTGTTGAGTGTAGTAGGCCATTGATACCAAATAGCACAAGCCAGAAGTGGCAGACACCTCCATGAACAATGTCCCAGATACCTGATGTACACAGACACATTGCTTCAACCCACCTTTTTGGAACACTGCTACTGTGGTGTTTGATTCGTCCTTTAAGAAAATAGTATAACCAGTCCCATAACAGGGAACACTGTACTTCACCATGCACCGAGGCACTCACCAGTCCATGCTGCAGTACCAACAAAGCCAATCTTCACCAAGCACGGGAGACATTGTCCCATAGAGTCTTCAAAAACTCAACTTCCCACCCTTTAAAAGGGGATCACTGCCCTCAACCCATAGAGCACCCTGTCATGGAGGTTGTCTGATACATAGCACCCAGGAGTTTGTTGCTTGCAAAGGTCCAGCTCTGACCAGCAGGTTGCCCCTGCTCTCACATGTGGGATTCAGGTACAGTCCCTTTTGGCCTGCTGACCATAGCAACAAATCCAGATGAAGCCCTTCTCTTCACTAAGCCCACAAATGTATGAATATGACCTGTGCTGTGTGTGGTGTACAAATAAGAAATATTTTCAGGAATAAATCAAAAGATATCCTCAAATTTATGCAGTATTGTCATAAGGACAGTAGCAGAGGTCTACTCCCTTTGGACTCAGCGCTGTTCTGGGGACACCAGGGCACTCTAGGCCAGAAACCTACAGAAATGAATGTGCCTAAGAAACAGGAGGGACTAAAAGTAGCAGAAGCCCAAGGTAGATGGACATTAGCAGACCTCTGTGGTAGTTTAAAAGCAGTTCCCTGAGAAAGTAAGAGAAAGAACATCTAAAAACTCACACAGCTACCTGGATGCCTTTACAACCAATATTAGCACAGGAAAAGGGCTGCCACATCAATATGGAAGAACTTTATGAATATATCCACCAAGAACCAGGCGGCAGTCAAGCTTAAAAAAACAAGCTCTCTAGGCCTATGCAGAAGAATATAGTCTGCAAATGACTTTTCCTTTGTTCCTAGAGTCAGTCGTCTAGGGGCAAGGTTTATACTCAAGAGGACTGCTGTATTCCCCAATAAACATTTATCAAAAACATTATTTTTTTGTACAATGTTAGATGGCTTTGGCTTTCAGTGATCCAGTACTATCGTAAGCTGTACAAAACTTCTACTCACATTCCTGTCTTTTCAAACCCCTGGTTAAAATATATGCAAGTCCAAGAATTTAAATGCAGTTCACTATATGATTGTTTTCACTCAAGAACAAAAGTGAATTATTGGAAGAATTACCAGGTAAAATACAGGGAAAAAACATTTAAAAATAGAACAAATGCAGCCACTAAAGAATTGGTAAGATGAAATTATTATCTTGGCTTTAGGTATAGTTTTATTTAATAAAATATTAATGTTAAAAAAGGTAGGAAGGTAGAAGTTTGCATTCTGTAAGACAGTGGTGAAAAGTGCAACATTTTTACATTTTCTAAATATAGGTTTTAAAAAAGAAAGAAAAAATGTTTAGCGTGACAACATAGGTTTAAAATATCTGCTTTATAATAAGTACCGGAGTAGAGGGAGCAGGTTGAGGCTTAATGTCTACGGCTCCAGCTGTCTCTTTGTAGTCTGCAAAGCTTCCAACATCAGACTCTTTCTCTACAATGATACAGAGAGGTGTTCCAAGTGGTACGTCCCGCGTGCCTTCTGGTATCAAGATTTTGGCCAAATATCCTTCTTCTTGCACCTCGAAACCTTGGTGAAACAGATCAAAAAATGTATTAATTGTAATAGTTTTTGTATGAACTGGTGTTCACTAATATAATCCTGTAGGAGATGATACCAGATTTACCAAAATCTGCATATATATCTTAGTACTTAAAAAAAAAAAAAAAAAGTATTCCTGCGTACCTGGGAGCCCTTGAATTAAGGTATACTCCATGCACTGCTTGATGACTTCTGGAACGCTTCAGTGTCTCAAATTTTTTGACAGATTTTAATAAATCACTACTAAAAAGGTGACAACAGGTACATCACATAGTGAAAATACATCCACTATATTGGCTGTTGGGTGTCTGCAATGCAATGTGGGATGCTCATTCTCTTACTCTATTCAGATTTACTTTAAAAGGCCCATTATGAGATAAACACATAAAATTACTTACAACACCATAAAGAAACTTTGCATATGCATAGCATCACCATTTGATATAGGACACATTTTATTAAAAAAAAACAAAATCCTTCCTAATAGAATTAAAAGAGAAGTGTGGACTTTTTGTTCCCCCCAGATATGCTTACCTAGGTGGATGCAGCATCAGTTCGATTCTACATCTGCCCCCCCCCCCCCCCCCACAGCTCTAAGTGTGAGAACTCAGCGATCATGTGACTGCTGATCACCGAGTTCTCAAAGCCACTCTGAGAAGAGAGCCGTGTCTGTCAGTCGCCGCTGTCTGCTCTGCCCGCCATCCCTCACTGGAGCGCTGGGCTGTGGAGGGGGAGGGAGCGGCTGGCTCTGGCTCTCAGCTGCTGCAGACTCTGGGGTGGATCCCAACTTTGAAGCTGGGATCTTTCCCCAGCCTGGACTGGCTGAGAAACGTCACCTGACAGCAGGCTTCAGCCCGCTATCAGCTGAAAACGGGTTACAGGAGTGCAGAACAAACTACACACCTGTGATCCACAGAAGTACAGCCAAAATAGTTTTGGCTGTACTTCTCCTTTAAAGTGTTACTAAACCCACAACAGTAAAAACAGTCTTTATAGGCAGTAAAGCAAGCATTGTGGAACCTAAGGGGTTAACCCTCCGCATTATGTAAAAAGGCTGTTTGATTCTGTCTTCTCTGGTCCTCCCCTTCTTTAACTGTCCCCAATCCATCTGATAGTACAGAGCCCTAGGAGGCACTCTGCACATGCTCAGTTTAGGGTGTATTGCTAGAGAGTTGTTTTTTTCCTTGGGAGGGTGCATGTGAAGATCACAGTGCCAATCAGCACTGTCCAGACAGAGGGTCAGGGATCCTGCAGCCTCATAGGATGGTCAGAGCAGAATGAAAAATTCTCCTATAAGCTTTAACCAGTGCTTTGCTGGACACTGATAAAAGTCACAAGACTGTCATATACTGATGATGAGAAATATAGTTAGTTTATATTTACTAAAATATTTGCATTTCCATGTTCTGGGTAATGTGGGAGACCCGATATAGTGAATGCAGGGTCATGGGTTTAAAAGATTACATAGTATATACCTCCTGCGCTTAGAAGTGTACAACAATTCAAATAGATGACGGCAGCTAACACCCACACCTATTACCTAGAAGTGAATAATGCAAAATAATGTATAAATGGTGTAGCGCTCATACATATAAAAAAATAAAAATAAAATATAAATATAATAACACAGTGATAACTAAATAGTGACCTAATCCCAAATAAAACATATATAGTACTAAGTGAGAACTCAATAGTGACCCGATTCCATCTTGGTTCTGATAGTGACACAGAACAGTGGGAAAAACAACTTAAAACTGTGATCTCAAAATATACCCAACGTGGTATATTTATACACAAAAGTGCTCACAACTACCCAGATCCTTAAATAGGATCAGTGACTGACTGTAACAAAAATCAGTGACAAACAAGTGATCCCAGAACTGGGGGATGTATTTTTCAAATATAGTGAACAGTGGTCAATGAAAAAAACACACAGAATTCACATATATAATATAACATGCCACAATCTCGTCCCCAAAATTATACCTAAAAAAAAAAAATATATAATACAAACGAATCTCAAAAAAAAAAAAAAAAAAAACAAAAAAAAAAAAAACGTATGTTGAAATATAAATCACAAAACATGAAAAAAAGTCCAACACAAACAGTGCATGTAAACTCGGTGTTCCACAAATATTAAACATGCAAATAGTGCTGTGGATGTGCACTGCAGCCGTTGTTGATGAATCCAAAATTAGCTGAATTGCCTCTTCACCTCCTTACCGTGACCCAATGGGCCAAACAGCTTTTTGGATCACCCCTGGATCCTCCAAGTGCGATTTCTCTTTGATGGAATCCTTCCAAATAGCAGTATAACTCACATCACATCAAAGCTCCCCTTTAGGTTTGCGTGATACAGCCAACTCTCACAGAATTCGTAATAAAGACATGGAAGAGAGAACCTCCATAGTGTAATACTGTTTAATGTACAAATATATCCAAAAACAAGCCAATTTCTCACTCACTTATTATCAGAAGAATACAGGCGTTTTAACCTCATGCTATGGGTGTAGTTTTGCATGGGTTCGTATAGAGTACAAAGATGGCGTCCACGCCGGATATTGCATCACCACGTTAGCAAAAACTGGTAATCATCAAAAGGAATCTCTACCTCCACCCTTCAGATCCCAGGATGCAACAACGAATAGCATTCACAGGAAAATTTAAAAAAGGTATTTACAATATTTTTTTATGTAGTTTTGCCTCGTATCACTATTTCATGGTTAATCTTTCTTCAAAGTCACATACACTTTATAAGCATCCAAACTCAGCTGAGGGCAGTGCTGTCTGCATTAGTTTTATATGTGTGAAACTGAAACTTTATTAAAATAGCATGTACACAACACGTAGAAGTCCAGTATAGCAATAGATTCAGTCATACAGTAAGGATAATGGATATAGCACCAAATGAAAATAGCACATACTAGTGTACATTACAACTCTCATCACAACTTCTCGGCAGGTTAAGAAATACTTTAACAACCTTTTAAATGATCCCTCTATAAGCAAAACCCTTTGGCGGACCTTCAAGTTTCATATGTTCTCTAATCATCTTTCCAACTTCCTGGGTACAGCATGGTGGCTTGGTGGTTAGCATGGATGACCACCAGCAAGGCTCCAGCCTTTTAGCAAAAAAATGTTATGCATCACAGACAACATCAATGTACTGTTTAATTGGGCAACTATGTGGCAAATGAGGTTTAATGTTGATAAATATATGCACTTGGGGGCTAAGAATATGCATGCATCATACATACTAGGGGGAGTACAACTGGGGGAATCAATGGTGGATAAGGATCTGGGGGTTCTGGTAGATCACAAGCTTAATAATAGCATGCAATGCCAAGCTGCCGTTTCTAAAGCGAGCAAAATCCTCTCTTGTATTAAAAGAGGTATAGACTCCAGAGAGAAAGATATCATATTACCCCTGTACAAATCATTAGTAAGACCTCATCTAGAATATGCAGTTCAGTTTTGGGCACCATTTAAAAAAAAAAACATTGGGGAACTGGAGAAAGCACAGAGAGGGGCAACTAAACTGATTCAAGGTATGGAGGAGCTCAGCTATGAGGAAAGATTAGAGGAACTGAATGTATTCTCTCTTGAGAAGAGGAGATTAACCACTTCCATTCAGGGCACTTTTACCCCCTTCCTGCCCAGGCCAATTTTCAGGTTTCAGCGCTCTCACACTTTGAATGTCAATTGTACAGTCATACAACACTGTACCCAAACTAACATTTTATCATTTTCTTCACACAACTAGAGCTTTCTTTTGGTGGTATTTAATCAACACTGGGGTTTTTATTTTTTGCTAACAAAAAAAACCCGAACATTTTGAAAACAAAAACACGTTTTTCTTTGTTTCTATTATAAAAGTTTGCAAATAAATAATTGTTCTTCATAAATTTAGGCCAAAACGTATTCTACTACATGTCTTTGGTGAAAATAACCCAAATTAGTATTTATTATTTAGTCTGTAGGAAAGTTATAAAGTTCACAAACTATGGGATATATCTGAAAATTGATCAATCCTGAAGTACTGACAGTCAGTCTAATTTCTTGAGGTCCAAGAATGTCAGAACAGTACAGATATCCCCCAAATTCCCCTTTTTGCAAAGTAGACAGTCCAACGTATTTCATAACAGGCATGGCGAGTTTTTTGAAGTTAGAATTTTTTTGTCATAATTTTTCGGAAAATGAAGAAATGAAAAAAATGATTTTCACTATTTTTTTTTTTTTACATACTGTTACCAGTGCAGTACAGCGTCATCATATAACTGGCATGGCGGTGATCAGGGACACTTACTGGTGACAGTACGGAAAAAAAAAATATTGCTAATTTTTTGTTAATCTTTATTTTTTTATTGTTTTTTTAATTTTTTATTAAATTTTTTTCTCTTTTTTTAAAAAATTTTTTCATATTGCACTGTGACCAAAGTAGTATAATGTTACCATAGTAACATTGTACTACTTTGGGACGTGATCAGTATTTTCTTTTACACAATTTGCTTATTGCAAAGAATTACTTTGCTATAAGCAAGTATTTACCTGAATGAAATCGATTCATGCAGGGGTTTTTTTTTTGTGATTAGCTGTGATTTGTCGACGGCTAATCACATGACACAGCTGGGCTGTGATTGGCCCAGCTTGTGCATGTGATTGCTGTGACCATTCACAGCTAGACACACTTGTATACAATGGATGGCATGAAAGGAAGCCATCCATGGAATACAACTGTCATGTGACCTGCTGTGATTGGTCACAACAGGTCACATGGTACTGGCAAAGGCGCCGGTACACAGATCTGTCATTGACATGTCTGAGGTACACAGCCAGTGACAGATCTTGCTACAGTGCGGCCCTGCGGGCATGCGCAATGCGTGTTCTGGAAAGGACGCCATATGACGTCCACCCGGAGGGACGAGCTGTTCGCCTGACCGCCATCTGGCTATAGGCCGGGCGGCAACTGGTGAAGGGGGGATATGATCAACATGTATAAATACATCAGTGGTTCATATAGTGAACTCGGTGTAGAGCTATTCACCTTGAGGTCATCACAGAGGACAAGGGGGCACTCTTTACGTCTGGAGGAAAAGAAATGTAATCTCCAAACATGGAAAGGTTTCTTCACAGTGAGAGCTGTGAAAATGTGGAATAGACTCACTCAAGAGTTGGTTCTGGCCAGCTCAGTAGATTGCTTTAAAAAAGGCCTGGATTGTTTCTTAGATACACAGAATATAACTGGATACTAACATTTATAGGTAAAGTTGATCCAGGGAATCAGACTGCCTCTCAGGGGATCAAGAAGGTATTTTTTCCCCTGCAGTAGCAAATTGGATCATGCTTTGCTGGGTTTTCTTGCCTTCCTCTGGATCAATTGTGGGTGTAGTATTATAACTTTTTTTTTTTTTTTTAATGGTTGAACTGGATTGTCTTTTTTCAGCCAGACTAACTATGTAATATTATCAAGCATCACAAGTGATGACCAGGACACTGAAATATTTTGCACTAAACAAAATATACAGTGGATAAATTAAACCACAAATAACGGAGCACTCTGTACATTTCACACATCACTCTGTAGTATTACATTTCATAACAGATGTATTTTTACCTATAGTGGCTTTGTCGGTTTCAATCTCTGCCAGCAGGTCTCCTTCACTGAGCTTCTCTCCAACCTTCTTCTCCCATTTCTGTACTGTCCCCATTGTCATTGTCGGTGATAGTGCAGGTAATAAGATCTATAGATTTGGAATACAAGAGATCCAATCTTACTAAAAATTAAGATCTGCTATAGTTATGGGATCCTGGGCTTAATGTCTATCTGGCACCCTACGTGCATAAAGTTTGTGGATTTTTTCTGTGTTTGTATGGATTCATTTACTGGCCATAATGGCTCAAAAACTGGTCCTAACGTGTGCATCTGTACAGCTTTATTAGGAAAGCAAATCTACAACTCCAGACAAATGGCAAAACAGGCAATTTCATACATATATATGTTTCCTGTTCTAGCTGTCAAAGATCTGAAATTATTCAATTTTGTTCAGTCAGTCTTGTACTTTACAAACACCTGCAATACCACCACTACCACCCTGGCTCTTAGGTGAGCAAGGAATATGGTAAGTACTGTGCTTATTTTCATCCCTCTACACAAGATGAGTATTTAGCCCTTGCAGTGCGGGGGAAGTTGTGCAGTGCGGGGGAAGTTGTACAGTAACTTGGATTTAAGCTTTAAGATGCATAATGGTCCTGCATTACACCTTGTCTTGGTAAGAATTCGCTAAAAAACACATAAACCTGGGTTGCTACTGCACAAAAAAAAAGGATAATTACTTTGCCTTGTGCTTTTCTTTAATAAACAAATGTGTATATACTGCAGCAGATAAATAGTGGGTACTAATTATATTACATGACATAATACATTCACATGGATGCCAAGGTTACCTTCAGGTGTGTGGGATAGGAACTGCCAGGGGCTTGAACTGCTGCTGGAGGTGGTGCCTGGGCAGCTGCTGTTGGGGTGCTTGAAGGAGCAGCAGGTGCAGGAGTAGCAGCAACAGTGTCCAATGTGTAGTTCTTGAAGGCATCCATCAATTCAGGCCTATGGAATAGCACATTTTTTTTTTTTTAATGATAGTTCCAATTTACAGCAGGCATACTCTCTCAGTTAGCATTTGAATATGAAATGTTTTTGCAATCACCTGTCTAAAGATCTAATCTAATCAAAGCAGGGAATGTTTGCAATGAAATATGCTTCAGTCCTGGCAATCATTATTCCTGTCCAGGGGAGGTTTTCTTTTTTTATAAAAAAAAAAAAAAAAAAAAAAAAAATGGCTTTAATTTAACCACTTGCCCTGTGGAAGATTTACCCCCTTAATGACCAAGCCATTTTTTGCTGTTCAGCACTGCGCTATTTCAACTGGTAATTGCATGGTCATGCAATGCTGCACCCAAACAAAATGTCCTGTTTTTCACACAAATAGAGATTTCTTTTGGTGGTATTTGATCACCTCTGTAGTTTTTACTTTTTGCGATATAAACAAAAGAAGGCAGACCAGGGATTTTTTTTTCTTTTTTTACTTTGCAGGAGAATTAAAGATCATTTCTCCTGCAATGCAAAGCTTGCAGTCATGAGCCTAACTCATTCATGAAATATCATGAATGAATTAGGTTTTGACAGCTCAAGATAGTGATCTGTGATTGGCTGGAGCTGGAAACATGGTATAGGGTTCTGTGATTGGCCCCATGTATCATGTGACAGCTGTGGGCCAATCACAGCTCTCTAGGAAGAGAAGCAGAGCTGTTATGAATCAGATTGATTCATAGCAGCTTTGCTAACATTGTGATTATGTGATCGCATAGTGATCATGTGATAACCGGGTCCCATTCACCGGGATCTTCATTCCGCTGTGTCCGCCAGACACAGCAGCCGCAGGTGGGGAAGTGCCCCCGTGTTAGTACAGCCAGAACGACGTACCCATATGTCACTCACCTGTAGCTGCCGCCCGGCCACAGTACATTGCGGGGCGGAAGTGATTAAAGTGGTAGTAAATGTAAAAAAAAAAAAAAAAAAAACAAAAAAAACACTGCAAGGTAAAGGCATAATGTGCTAGTATACATTGCATACTAGCACATTATGAAAGCCTTACCTGATAACAAAGCCCTCCAGCAGCACGCTGTCACTGCTGCAGAGGCTTCCATCTTCACTCGGTCTTCCAACCAGGTTCGCGGGCTGCTTGAATGGCCGAGCCGTGAAGACAGGTTCATATGCTCATGGGAGTCACTTCCACAGCACAGAACTCTGAAGGAATGGCACAAGTATTCCATTCCTTCAGAGCGCATGTGCCAGGACATCACTGGTTGCTGCTCACTAGAATATCTCCTAAACAATGAACATTTAGGACATATTCATTTTACCTACAGGTAAGCTTTATTACAAGCCTACCTGTAGGTACAAGGGGCGTTCAAGTCAAACTGGGACTTTAGAGATTATATAATAAAAATAAAAAAATTTAAAGTGGAGACATTTATTTTTCAACATACTCCTCTTCTACATTTATACACTTATCCCAGTGTTTAACTACTGCCTGGAAAGCTTCGGCATAGAAAGATTTGTCAGTACGCCTGAACCATCCTAGGACAGCCTGCTTCACATCATCATCAGTGCTGAAATGCTGACAACAGAAGATTCGTCTCTTGTACAATCTCACGACAGGTTATGTATTGATTATCCAGTATCAGGCGTTCCATGCGCTGAACGTTCCCAGGAAAGACTGCTGTGGGCTGGGAACCGCCATGGCCGGGATTGTCACTGACAGACGTACGGCCATCTTTGAAACATTTACACCATTCAAATACTATGGATGAGCATCTCTTCACCGTACTGTGCTTGAAGTCTTCTGTAGATACCTGTGGGTTTAATGCCTTCGTTCACAAGAAACTTCATCACCACACGCTGATCCATGCACAAACTAACACTGTTGTCTGCCATCTTGACTGGATCGGTCCGTGACATGTGCGCTGCCTATCAGTAACAGAACACACTTGCCACTGACCACTGCGTGCAGCACGGCCACATTAGCATCCCTTTTTATTTTCTGTAAAGCTAAAAGTCCTGGCTTGACTTGAACGCCCCTCATACAAATCAAAATTGAGACTTTACTACCACTGTAAGCCCACTTTAAAATGATTACAAAAGTAGATTACAACTAGCTCTATGTAGAAAACATGACTGGTCAGGGATACACCTTATAATTTAACGCATGTTCCCAGTTTTACAGTTATTTCTGTAAATTCCATCATTGGAAAAAAGTCTTGATTCTTGAAAAATATTGCACAAGTGGAATTAAAGCTCTGTAAAATATATGTAAAAGACATTGGCATCTACAACCTATAAACAAAAATCAGCCTACGCTGTATAAAATCTAAGTAATACCAATAAGCAATCAAGACAACAGATATATGTGCTTGTCACTCACCTGTCAACAGTGATGCAAATTATGGAACCAATTGGGACATCTTTTGTCCCTTCTGCCACTAGGATTTTGGCCATGTAGCACTCCTCCAAACTTTCAAATCCTACTGTAGCTTTGTCTGTCTCAACCTACAAAACATACACAATTTGTAATGTCAGTAAATTCCATTATCATACTGGCTGCTGTATTTACTGCACCTTTTCTGTGGATTCAAAACGCTCATACTAACAGGTTTCTGCGATTACAACAGGAGACTTTTGAGTGCTTTTGCTCCAAAAGAGTGTAGTTATGTATCCAGAGGCTGCTGAATACGCAGACGGTGCCTGCATCTGATTGGAGGAAATTTTCTGACCGCCTCTTCGACAAGTCCTAAGACAAGCAGGGCTATCCATTGTTAGAATTTCAGCTGATTCAGAGGAATTTACCAAAATTCTAATAGTGTATAGCTAGCCTAACAGTTGACACCTAGAGTGGATACTGATTTAGTTTTTCCCATAGCCAAATGAAGTTCCTTTTTTTTTGCATTCTTTATTTATAGGTTGTTTTGTCATTACATAACAAAGAACAGTGGGACAAGTCACAACAAAATAGCTAAAGCACAATGGTTGGCATTGGGCTTCTAGTCGGGAGCATACAATATGAAAGTACATAGGTTAACATACAAATATAAAAGGAACGGATGACGGTAGGTTGGAACTCTGAATATTTAATTAAAGAAATGCTGGGTAGGTGCAATGAAAGTCCAGGGGCCCCCATGTGATGGGAGCAGAATTCTACTTCCAGTAGTATTATTGGACAGCTGTATTGGAAGGGTTTCACTAACACACAGTGACAGCGAGTGCCTTTCGAGGGGAAAACAGAAGAGCCCCATGAAGTTCCTTTTTACATTTTGACAAAATCAATTTTTTTTTTTATCAGACCAGATTTTAAAGTGTGGCATGACAGTCAAACCCCAAGCCTAAATCTACTCCCAACCCAATTCTAAGATTATTTTATCTACCCTATGATGCCTATACTTACCTATTCTGAAGCTGCTCCTGTCTGATCACATGACTGGCCTTCAGCACTGGCTATTGGGTACAGGAAAGACAGGCGACAGCAGCTCAGCTGCCTCATAGTAAGCCTATGGGTGACGCCAGGCTCTGCAGCCGTTTGTTGCTGCATCTCCTCTACACTGAAGCCGGCACTGGGACCCGATCGTGTGACTGGACCATGGCGACTTCAGAGTAGGTAAGTATAGACTTGTTTTCTTTCACAGGGTGACTAGAATAGTCTTAGAATGGGGGTGGGAGTAGAGTTAGGCTTAGTTGGGGTATGACTGGAAATCCACTTTAACTGTGTGTTCAACCAAAAAAAAAAAAAAAGAAAAAGCAAGAAGCCTTAATTTTGTAATAGTGATAGAAATACAGTGTATCAAATAAAACATTTAGAAATCAAACCTCTGCAATCAGATCCCCTTCGCTGATTTTATCGCCTTCCTTCTTTTTTCCCATCGTGCAATTGTTCCCATCTGCATTGTGGGGGAGAGTGCAGGTAAAGGCACCTGTACAAAGAAAAGATCCACTAGTAAGAGTCCCAAATAAAATGTTCATTTGTAAATACATAAGCCTTTTGCTACATCCAATTGCCCATTACGTTAAATCCTTGCCAAACACCCTCTGTGTGTATTGTACTGAAGATCTGACCAGAGCAAGTGATGGGCAATGAATGTGATGTGTCAGATGAGTGGACTGGCAATCTAAAACATTGGAGGCTTCAATTCACTGCAAATGTAATGAATGAAAAACAAGCTCTTTGCCAAACTCTTTTGGATCTAAATCCCTGGTGCCCAACCTGCGGCCCTTTGAGGTTTGAAGTGTGGCCCTTGGGCCCCAGCAATAAGTACAGAAAGCATTTATTTGTAAAGGGGCTCCTAATAGTAGTCTAGTAAAGTCTAGTGGTTTCAAGTAACATGTCCCTAGTCTCTGACTGTCTTCTATGAATTCTATCTCCAACCACTCCTGAAAAAAATCTGACCATTTTCTCTAGCAAGTCTTCAATCTGTGACAGTGTTCTGTAGCATTACATGTAATAAATACTATATGTGGCTCTTTGGAGACATTAGGGGCCACATTTGAGGCCCTCTTTACCTTGAAAGAGAATAACCACTGATCTAAATGGACCAATATTTGGCCAAATTGCACACAAACTAGGATGACTAGTCAATATAAAGCTGCCTGGCATACGAAAAAAAAAAAAAAAAAAAAAAAGAGAAGAGGACAAAAGCAGTATTAAATCCAAAAGCAAACATTATATTGCAGCTTAGATGTGATGGCTGCATTAGTTTCCTTTTTTAGGCTTTCTTTCTTCTATTTTCATCTGGTGATTCAGCCAGCGATTCTGCTTGTTTTCAGAAATGTATCAGCTAACATGGATGAGGCAATCCAGTTACCACTGACAGGGGTGATTACAATGATCAGTTTTTATATATTCATGTAAAACCTTTATAATCAGTTACAGCATTTTTTTTCCTTTTGGGATAAAGTGTGAGCTGGATTTTGGCTTCAATTTATTTGTATTCAAGCCTGTAAGGAAATTTAAAACTTCCATCCCCCTCCAGACTGACAATGCTGCTTTCCAAAGGTGCCCCCAGTGCTTCTTGATCCAGAGTGGGGGCACTCTAATACAGAAGGTGTGTTACTGGCCAGATCACCAGGTGAAATCAGAGAGAAAAAAGCCAAAGAAAAGAAAAGAAAACTGATGCAGCCACCACATCTAATGATCGGTAAGCTGCAATATAGTACATTTTTTGTTTTGGGCTTAATACCACTTGAAGGTATTATGTGGCTGGCATGCAACAGAACTATTCAGATTGTAACATTATTCGTATAATCATATACTGCCAAGATAGTAGTTATGTTCAATATAATGTCATAAGGGCGATTCTGTCCCAGCTGACATAAATCCAACTTCCAATATCATTAGTGGAAGTCACCCCATCACTGCCCAAAATGCTGCTGAAAGTCCAGTGCCAGCATGGGAGAGGGGCACAATGACAATGCCAGCATGGAAGAGGGTGATACAATGATAATGCCAGCATGGGAGAAGTGACACAATGACAATGCCAGCATGGGAGAGGCGATACAATGCCAGCATGGGAGAGGTGATACAATGACAATGCCAGCATGGGAGAGGAGGAGACACAATGACAATGCCAGCATGGGAGAGGGGAGACAATGACAATGCCAGCATGGGAGAGGGGAGACAATGACAATGCCAGCATGGGAGAGGAGACACAATGACAATGCCAGCATGGGAGAGGTGATACATAGCCAGCATGGGAGAGGGGACACAAAGACAATGCCAGCATGGGAGAGGTAATACAATGCCAGCATGGGAGAGGGGACACAATGAGAATGCCAGCATGGGAGAGGGGACACAATAACAATGCCAGCATGGGAGAGGTGATACATAGCCAGCATGGGAGAGGGGACACAAAGACAATGCCAGCATGGGAGAGGTGATACAATGCCAGCATGGGAGAGGTGATACAATGCCAGCATGGGAGAGGTGATACAATAACAATGCCAGCATGGGAGAGATGATACAATAACAATGCCAGCATGGGAGAGGTGATACATAGCCAGCATGGGAGAGGGGACACAAAGACAATGCCAGCATGGGAGAGGTGATACAATGCCAGCATGGGAGAGGTGACAATGCAAGCCTATGAACAGCTCCATAGAGTAATGTAAGTAGAAATGTAGCAATTGTGCAGCTTATGATAGACTCTCCTGTCTGACATACACCTCTGTGCAGAGCATGGGTTACAAACGTTCTGATCTGTACATGCTCTAGCAGATGTAGATGGCTCTTTACCATATCCATGTCACACTATAGGTTTACAGGGCTGGAAATCTCCCCCACTCAATAATCCCCCCTCTCCGTCTGCACACAGCAATGATCTCTCCTTCCCTTCTATAGATTCTCTCTCCCCTCAAGTGACCCCCCCCATAGACCTGCTCCCAGAATACTAGTCAAAGTACAGCTGTCAGGAGAGAAATATGAGGGCTGCCAATGCAATCCTCCTTCTGACAATGCTAGTTGCTTGGCTTTGTCTCTTAAATCTAAGTCTGTTCAGGTCAAGACTGGGGAAGCGCTTACATGAAAGTATCAGACTACAGAAACACAGACGTTTCAGATTTCCTCTGTTCACACAAGTATCAGCATGACAACCAAGATCCTGGCATTTCCCAGAGGTCAGCAATGGCAGTCTATATATTTTTCTCATGACAAGTTGCCTTCAAAGCTGAACTTTGTGAAATAGATAAAATCTCCCCTTACACTGGGGCCCCCAGTACTGCGAGGGACCAATGCTTGTTTAGTCTAGGAGGCAGATCCCTGGACTACTTACCTGCCCCCTAAGGCCTCATTCACACTGGCCGTCAGACCTGTGTTTACATGCGTTTAGCCAGCTAAAAAAGTTAGGAGCCAGTTTTTTTTGGGGGTGGGTTGTCAGCGCCCCGGGGCAAGGCAACTTTTGGGCCACAAGCCTCTGCATGTCTGGCATCATCTCTCACGGTTTACCATGTCCTTACACAAGTGGTTTTCGTCATTCTGCTGTAAAGTTTCTTACCTGCAGATCCCGCCAGTAACAGCACTTCTTGATGCACACTGACAATGCTAGGCCGCGGCCTCACACAAAGCATCGGCGTTGCCAGCGCTCCTTGGATTGTCTGTTGAGTGTCCTGTAAGGTCTATCAGAGAGAAACCTCAATGAGTGATGGAAGGAGCATGTGCGGCATGTGGATGTCACCACTGACAATGGGAATTAATGTGAGTGTTGTCAGCCTGCAGCAGGAAGTGCTGTTAATGGCAGGATCTCCAGGTCAGAAGCTCTGCAACAAATTCACCAAAAATGATTTGCTTAGGAAAACAGTACACAGTACATCATAAAGCCAAACATATCGAGAGATACAATTATGGCTTATCTAGGCAGCCACGGGGCAGTAAAAATAGGTGGTTGAGCTTTACCCTCCCCCCCTGCAAATAGAACATGCAGCCACTTAGGGCTGTACACATGCCAGTCATGATGCTTTGTGGCTGCATCAAAAATGAGACTGCATGTTGAAGTCGGTGGGCAGTCCTGCCACCAAATGCAACCCACTTAAATGAATGGGCCCCCACTGCAACCGCATGCAAGGCAAATGGGTGCAATGGTTGGCATTGTAAGGGTCGAAACCAGGTGGTGAGCTGACATATCGCCTCCAAACCGCCTGTCAAATCCATTGTGGATCACTCTTCAGAGGGGCAGCAAGGGTACTGCATGTGAGGGCAAGCCTTTAGGGTTTATATACTCTTTAGGTGGAGCCTCTGGCTTTATCACCTTCTGAGTCAGTGGCCTGGAACAAGCATGCAGCAAGTGAAAAATGTTCACAAGCCATTGCACGGATGGGCAATATGAGTTCCAGAGCTGGAAATGCTCCATTAGAGCCTTGAGACCAAAAGCACATGTTTCTGAGGTGTGATCCACGACCCAAATGTGCTATCATATACTAGGGAACTTCGTCTACCAGCTAGTGCCCATGTTCTTCACGCATCCAGTCATGTGCGGCCTTCCTTGGCTGATGTCTAGGAGGATATACACCGAGGGCAGACCTATGCACACAATTCTGCTGTTTTATCATGCCTTACGGCTCTACACTAGTGGCAAGATCTGCCCCTCCTCTGAAGAGTGATCCACACTCAAAGTCACTTTTCACAGTCAATTTGATAGGCGATGGGTAGGTGATATGTCTCCACCTCACCGCCTGCTTTAACACCCTAAACACTGTACTACTGCACTGCGACCTCATGTATTGCACACAGTTGTAGAGCGGTTGCAGTTCTGCCCCAGTCCTGAGAATTCCTGCCATGGCTGTGAAGCAATGCATTGAGGAATGTGTACACCCCCAGCTGCCATCTTTACAGCTTAAAAGGGAGCAGCAGGGGGGCGGTAAAAATGCAGCTCAACCAGGTGTTTTCACTGCCCCCTGACCTCAAGTGTAAGTGAGCCCATACTGCACACACAGCAATGCATGTCCCAGAGTGCAGAGTGCGGGCTATTCACTCCCAATATCAGCACACATGTTGTAAGACGCCACATCACACGATGCGACAGCATGTGGGCTCCTAATGCAGCACGTCAAACACGCATTCAGTACCCACACCACACCATCTGTACAATCTCCTTTGGCTGCTCCAAAACTATTTAATATGAAGACAAAATGAAATGGGTTCAAATCACACCACACAGAACCGCATGTGACTTGTACAGGAATGAGACGTGACCGTGTGAACCGGAGCTAAAGGGCCAATTCACACCTAAATCGCCGCATTCCTGTGTGACCCCCCCCGTGGATGCACTCGGCCGATGAGCACACCGGAGCCCTCCAGAGGTATGAAGTCCATGCACTACTACTGAAAATGTGCTGCAACCGGATCACATGGCACTGCGATATCATGGGAACAGTGCAGGCAATCACACTGCATTTGTGATCTGCGTTTGGGGTGTCATTAAAAATGCACCGACACCCACAGCAGACTGCACACCCAGGGCATTGTGGACCCAGGGCAGGAAACACCCACAGAACCTGGGCTTCCCACACTGTGTTCTGGTGTGGATGGGCCTAAAGGAGATTGTACGGTGTAGGGCCACCTTTGTGGAGATCATACAATCACATTGTACAGTGTATGACCATCTTTGTGGAGTTCATACAATCAGATTTTACGTTGTATGACCATCTTTATGGAGATCATACAATCAGACTGTACAGTGTATGACCATCTTTATGGAGATCATACAATCAGACTGTACAGTGTATGACCATCTTTATGGAGATCATACAATCAGACTGTACGGTGTATGACCATCTTTATTATGGAGATCATACAACCAGACTGTATGGTGTATGACCATCTTTATGGAGATCATACAATCAGACTGTACGGTGTATGACCATCTTTGTGGAGTTCATACAACCAGATTGTACAGCGTATGACCATCTTTGTGGAGTTCATACAATCAGACTGTACGGTGTATGACCATCTTTGTGGAGTTCATACAATCAGACTGTATGGTGTATGACCATCATTATGAAGATCATACAATCAGACTGTACAGTGTATGACCATCATTATGAAGATCATACAATCAGACTGTACGGTGTCTAGTCATCTTTATGAAGATCATACAATCAGACTGTACGGTGTCTAGTCATCTTTATGGAGATCGTACAGTGTAGGGAAGCAGAGCTCGGCCATACCATCCTCTGATCTCTCCTCCTGTCAGCATACAGCCTGGTATTGGTGTGCAGATACGGAACTACAAGTCCCAGCTGTCTCCAGGCACAGCTCTTTCTGATGGGCCATTACTGAACTACAATTCCCAGCATACCTTGGCCCAGCTCCACACACAGGGCACTCTGGGACTTGTAGTGCCCCCGCCCCGGCCGCTCTTACCCTCTGGTGGGGAGGATAGCTGTACCACCTCCTGCCGGTCTCCGCTCCCCGCCTCCCCGGTACTCGGCCTCCTCCGGGCACACCGGCTGGCACACCGTCCAGGGCTCGGAGGCGGCAGCCGGCGCTCATGTGGTACCTCCGGACTCGGGCCGCCGTGTTCCCGTGTCCCCGGGCCGGCAGAGCGGAGCGGAGGGACCCGCGGAGCCTCAGGCACAGGCGGAGCATGGTGTCGGGGGAACACTCAGGGCCTGGGTCCTCTCCTTCTTCAATGACCTCCCCGGCGATTCGGGAACACTCACGGCAGATGCTCCGACCTCCACGTTCCCCTAGGGGGCGCGCTCACATCGCGATAGTCATCGGGCGCCATCTTGGTACACCCACATCCTCAGACATTTACTATGAGCCACATTTTCTTTTCAGATGCTAGATATCAAATGGTCTCGTCACACAAAGTGCTCGCGATGTATTTGCTCAATTGTATAAAATTATACGGTGTGGATGGTGTCCTAGAGATCGTGCTCGCTGATTGAGAGGAGCAAGATGGCTCTGAGAGTCTTCCGGGGACTTCTCAGTCAAAGAATCCTGAGGTGAAGGTGGAGCAAGATGGCTGACTCGGCGTGCTGTCGTCTAGTCGTAAGATCGTTAGGGTGGGTGTGTGCGGGGTGTGGCAACCAATGACAGCCGAGACAATGTGACACCAGGAGGAACGGCACTACATCGCTGTCTGATTGGACAGATCCCTGAAAGGGTTTTTTTTCAGCTACAGTCCATGGACAGTTATCGGTGAATGTAAAGTATAGGACAGGCGGGCTAGGAATTATAACTCAAGGAGGGCTGGTCGCTAAAATATTTTCTGCCAGCCGAGGTCCAAATCTCTTCAAGTAAAAGAAAATAGAACCGCCTTACATAAAGTGTTCTCATCAGAGCAATCCTTAGTTCAGTTGCTCCCATCAGAGCGCCCCCTTATATCAGGTGACCCCAACAGAGCGCCCCCTAGTATCAAGTGTCCCCATCAGAGCGCCCCCTAGTATCAGGTGTCCCCAACAGAGCGCCCCCTAATATCAAGTGTCCCCAACAGAGCGCCCCCTAATATCAAGTGTCCCCATCAGAGCGCCCCCTAGTATCAAGTGTCCCCATCAAAGCGCCCCCTAGTATCAAGTGTCCCCAACAGAGCGCCCCTAATATCAAGTGTCCTCAACAGAGCGCCGCCTAATATCAAGTGTCCCCAACAGAGCGCCCCTAGTATCAAGTGTCCCCAACAGAGCGCCCCCTAATATCAAGTGTCCCCAACAGAGCGCCCCCTAATATCAAGTGTCCCCAACAGAGCGCCGCCTTATATCAAATGTCCCCATCAGAGTGCCCCTTATATCAACTGTTCCCAACAGAGTACTCCCTCATATAAAGTGTCCCCAACAGAGTGCCCCCTTATAACAGGTATCCCCATCAGAGTATATTGGAGGTGATTGCGAGCGCAGGAGAACGTAAAAGCAGCTAGCATAAAAAGGTAAAACCTCAACACCTCAAAAATACAGTAAAAAATAATAATAAATATGCAGCGCTAAATGGTAACATATGATGAACAATAACAATGGTAATAAAAATATGGTAATAAAATTGTATAAATATAGGGTGAGCGCTATTGAGGAGCAAAGTTGGTGAAGTGATTATTATGTCTTAAAATGACATATCTATATGACACAAGTTAAATAGTTGAGTGACAATAGTGAATAGTCCGATCAACGAATATAGTAGTCCATAAAAAAAGTGATCCATGCTCCGTCCCGACACGGATCACTTTATGGACTGCTATATTAGTTGATCGGACTATTCACTATTTAACTTGTGTCATATAGATATGTCACTTTAAGACGTAACCATCACTTCACCAACTTTCCGCCTCAATAGCGCTCACCCTATATTTATACAATTTTATTGCCATATTTTTTATTACCATTATTATTGTTCATCATATGTTATTATTTATCCCCATCAGAGTACTCCCTTATATCGTGTCCCCAACAGAGTGCCCTCCTCATATCAAGTGTCCCCAACAGTGTGCCCTCCTCATATCAAGTGTCCCCAACAGAGTGCCCCCTTATATCAAGTGTCCCCAACAGAGTGCCCTCCTCATATCAAGTGTCCCCAACAGAGTGCCCCCTCATATCAAGTGTCCCCAACAGAGTGCCTCCTTATATCAAGTGTCCCCATCAGAGTACCCCCCTCATATCAAGTGTCCCCATCAGAGTGCCCTCTTATATCAAGTGTCCCCATCAGGGTAGCCCCCTCATATCAAGTGTCCCCAACAGAGTGCCCCCCTTATATCAAGTGTCCCCATCAGAGTAGCCCCCCTTATATCAAGTGTCCCCAACAGAGTAGCCCCCCTCATATCAAGTGTCTCCAACAGAGTGCCCCCTTATATCAAGTGTCCCCAACAGAGTACCCTCTTATATCAGGTGTCCCCAACAGAGTACTCCCTTATATCATGTGTCCCCATCAGAGTACTCCCTTATATCAAATGTCCCCATAAGAGTGCCCCCTTATATCAAGTGTCCCCAACAGAGTGCCTCCTTATATGAAGTGTCCCCATCAACGTGCCCCGTTAAATCAGATTTCCTCATCAGAGTGCCTCCTTATATCAAGTGTCCCCATTAGAGTACCCCCTTATATCAGGTGTCACATCAGAGTGCTCCCCTAAAATCAAGTGTCCCCATCAGAATGCCCCCTTACATCAGGTGTCACCATACATGAGGTTCCCCCATCAGTGTGCCATCATATCAGGTGTCCCCATCATGGTGACCCCCATATATTAGATTCCCCCATCATAGTGTTCCCATATATCAGCTGCAAAAATCACCATGCCCCCTTACATCAGGTGCCCCTTTACATCAGATTCCTCCATCAGAGTCTCACTATAGATCAGTAAATATTAATAATACCTAGGTTCAGGAACCCTAGCAACTTGGAGAGAGTAGGCAAAACCCAGCAATGGATCGATGTGCACGGAAGTGTGACATTACCCCCCCCCCCCCCCTTTTTTTTTTACTGAGATCAGGTTTTCCAGGTGGAATATTTTTACTAGTCAAAGAGCAGAAACATCAAAAGCGGGAACCCGGGATCTTTCCTCATGGCCAAAGCCCCTCCAATCAACCAGGCACTGGAGTCTACCGCAGGAAACTTTAGAATCCAAGATTTGATGAACTTAATTTTCTTGGAAAAGGATTGGTAGGAGGAGTTGCCAGGATTGAGGCATGAAAAACGCATTCAAAACACAGTGTTTTGAATGCGTTTTTCGTGCCTCAATGCTGGCAACTCCTCCTATCAATCCTTTTCAAGCTTGAGTAGAGATACATGAAAGGAATTGGGAATCTTAAGATAAGACGGCAAACAGAGTTTGAAGCAAACGGGATTGATTCTAGCAGAGATGACATAAAGTCCAATATAACGAGGGGAAAACTTCATGGATGGAACTTTTAGGCGGATATTCTTAGTAGCCAACCAATCCCTGTCCCCAGGCTGAAATAGAGTGACGCTTCGGCAGTGTCAATCAGCAAATCTTTTATGTCTGTCAGCTGCCCACCATAGTAGGGTCTGACCTTGGAACCAAATCTGATTCATACTCTTCTGCATAGCATCCAAGGCAGGGATCTCTTCTCTCAAAAAGGAAGGTTAGTTATAAAATCCATAGCAATGTGACACCACGGCTCCTCGGGGGGAGGCAATGGAAGAAGAGGTCCAGTTGAAGCTTGGTTAGAACTTGATACGGGCACAGACCGGACAGGCCTTCACAAAGTCCTTTGAAATCCTCGCGGAGGTTCGGTCACCAGTAGAGACGACAGTGGAAAGTTAGGGTCCTGTGGATACCCAGATGAACAGAGAGCTTGAAGTCATGAGCCCAACATAACAGCTTCATCCTGGAATTTTCTGGCACAAAAGCTTTCCTCAGTGGGATAGAGTCCTGAACTAAGGTGAGAGCAAGATCCTGAATAAGGTGAGAGCAAGAACTCGGATGGGAGGAATTATAAACTCTGGTTCCCTGGAGGTCTCAGAATTCTGTGAGTCAAAGGAGTGTGATAATGCATCTGCCTGGAGTTGGTTTTCCCCGTAGTAAAGAACAAAAGAAAGAGCTCACCAGCCTTGCACATTACCTCAGTAAACAGTAGATGAATTTATTAGTAAAATATACTCACAAGAGTAGCAGTAAAATAGGCATATAATAACCATAGCCAACACAGGGTTACAGGTCACATACAGGTTCCACCTGAAGGGGAGATAATCTCTTGTTCAAACTAACGCATTTCGAAGGGTGATCCCTTCTTCATCAGAGCTAGCCATAAAGAGATAAGTCACCCCTCAATAGATTGTTGATTGTTATTAAACCCCACAGGGGTTTAATGCTTTTAGTGTAATATAATGTGCATGGACACATGAGAACACTGTTAGCTTCTAGGAGCAGAAAAATAAATGCTCATAATTCTTCTACAGTGCCTTGGAAAAATATTTATACCACTTGAAATTTTGCTCATTTTGTCATGTTACAACCAAAAACGCAGTTTACTACCTCTTTAAAAGCAAACATTATATTGCAGCTGATCAATTCTTAGATGTTATTAATTTTCTTTTTTTTAGGCTTTCTTTCCTTTATTGTCACCTGGTGATCTGGCCAGTAAGTCTATTGTTATTCAACGGAACAAGCTGTCCTGTAGATGTAACAGTGAGAGTGTTGAGATAAACCTTTTACTACTGACAAAGGTGCTTACAATGGTCAACCTTTATTTATGTAAACCTTTATCCCAACTCTTACTGTAACTGCTTAAAGTGGAATTCCAGTCAATAGCTAACTAAGGCTCAGCCTGCTTCCACCCCCATTCTAATGCTATTCTATCTAACCCTGTAAAGAAAAGATCCCTATACTTACCTATTCTAAAGCCCCTCCAGTCCCAGGCTGAGCCGCCAGTGGCAGCTTCTGTGTGTAGGAGAGGCAGTCGACAACAGATGCCCCATAGTAAGTCTATAGGTGATGTCATCTCCTAGGCAATTCTTAGCCATTGTCATTTCTCTCCTGCACACAGAAACCGCCACTGGAGACCAGAACTGAGCGGCTTCAGAATAGGTAAGTATACAGAACTTTTTTTTACAGGGTTAGATGGAATAGCTTTACAATGGGGGGGAGTAGGTTTATCATTAGTTAGCTATGGATTGGAATTCCAGTTTAAAAAGTGTGAT